AGTAGCCCGCTACCCCGTATAATAGAATGATAATATGCGGTACTTTCTTTCGACAGGTACGCAACCGCCAAATGTTTATATGTAGGGGTAAATGAGCCAAACAATAACAAACCACGCATCGTTATGTTCCGACAGTGATACTGAAAATGGACGTGAGAGTACCAACAAAAAAGACTTCCTTACGTTGTAACAGTACCTCGAAATCAATTGAAACCAAGAGCTTCTAATCTGAACTCGAAGTCCTTGGGTGGGTTTAAAGTTTTACTTTAGTCCCTCCGGGGGCATTTTAAGAAAGATTACGTCAAGTTTGGACATCATACAGCATTACTGTTGGATAGCTCAGTCGGTATAGCGACTGGCTACGGGCTGGACGACTGAGGGGTCGGAGTTCGAGTCGCGGTAGGGTCAAGAAATTTCTCTTCTTCAAGTCGTCCAGACCGACTTTGGGGTGCACCCAACTTCCTATCTAATGGGTATCAGGGGCCGGGGATAAAGCGGCCGGGGCGTGAAGCTGGCCACTCACCTCCAACTAGTGCCGAGGTCAGAAAACACGGATCTATACATCCACTCCCCCATACGCCTTCATGGCCTGGTACTTCGTTAAACACTTAGTTTCAGGTGATACTACTGTTTACATTACTTTACACTCAATATGAGTGAACAGTATCTAACCTCTGTAAAGTAAAGCTATCCCTGTAACAGGCCATGAAGGCCCATAGAGTTGTGAATAGTGAGACCCCCTATCGTCTCAAATTTATATACACGTAGGCCTATAGTCTTCCGAGTCATAAAAAGACTTCCGACTCGGTAAATTCTGAAGAAATTTGCTTTTCATGCATTGTCAACCCTACATTGTAGAGGCTACAGCCGTATTTCCACCCGCCGCAGTTTTGGAGTGACGATTATTTTTATTGCAAGTGATAAACCAGACTAGGGGTATAATAATTGTTATGGCCCAAATTTGAGATTGGAGAGGGTATGGTATTACCCAAAAGTTAGAGACTTGCGAAAAGCGTTTCGCAGTCATTACAGTACATTGTAAACACCAGGACTGGCAATTAGGTTAAGAATGTGGAGGCTCAGCAGGTCTGTGTAATCGAAGAGCAAGAGCTTGCCTCACTCGGTACACGGGATTAATCGTGAGAGACCGCATACACAGCAATAAGACGCAAGGGGTCCGCCCACAACCACCCATGAGAGCCAATGAGGAGGTGATTATGAGGATTGAGGACACGGAGGGGGAGTCACCTACCCTCTGTCGTCAATGCCGAATCAGCGAATTAAAACGATAAATTAGGGAATTTCGGGGGACTTGGATCATGTTCTATCACAGAATATTCGGTTGTCAGCCGAAGGCTCTCTTCAACATGGGTTTGACAAGTGCTGGAAGGGCCTACAGTCTTCTATGTCAAGTAAGTCTCATTTACGCATAACAGCCATGCTGATTGATAATATTGTGTTTAATAGTATTGGTGATAACAGTGTTGTTGAGCTATTTGAATGTGCAATCTCCAGTGTACCCAGTGAGCCCTTAGGGTAGGATAATCGATTCATGTAAAAGCCTAGGATATTAGTCAGGCAAGAAGGTTTTATAGATATATGTTAGGGTATGGTTAGTATGTAGGGTAAAGATAGTATATGGGAATTTGGTATATAAACATAACTAAGGGTAGATTATGTTAGAAGAGACCTTACGACGGAGAGTGTAATCAGATATATATATATAAGTAGTAAGAAAGGTGCCGGGAGAAGATTATGTTAACGGGAGGACTTGTATAACCTCATTAGACAAGTCGAAGAGAGAAAGAGAGGCTCGAGGCCTCCATCCCCGAAGGGGAAGAACTTGGAGGAGTCTAACGTGTAGTAAAGACTCTATGCAGACCAGACTGAAGGTCAGTCTTTGTTGATAGTGTTAATAATGTAAATTTGTAAATTATGTAAATACAAAAGTGTAAATAGATGGAGTAGATAGATAGGATAGGATGTACCGGGGTTGTGATTCATCTCCATAATCAACTTTCCCACATCCGATCCCGAGCGATCCTACCACAATAAGAGTTGCAACAGCAGCCGAATGCTTAAGAAGTGATAAGAATAGACAGGGATAGGCTCCTGCCACACAGGCAGAGTATGGTAGCCTCGACAGCAACGCCCCTTGGGATATGATGATAAAGTGTATTAATAATGTACCAAGTCGCTACCTGTAAACTACGGGAGGAGTGGTCAAGGAGCTATGACTATATGCCAGGGAGTGGTGCCCACAATTGAAAGGGTATGTAATAGATGGTGGCAGCTTTTACCGAGAAGGAAACCCCGAAATAGGAGAATCCTAGTTAAAGGTGAGCTAGGATGATTGTGATAACTCCTTACAGAGCAAGTGACGGTGGAGGTAAGGAGGGATACCTCCACGGCCCCCTACTTGCGGCGTAACAGTGGTGGCAGAGGAGGCTACCTCCACGCCCCCTGTACCACGGCATTACAATAATAATAATAATAATAATAATAGTATACACGGAAATGTTATTATAGTTATTATTGGAGTCTTGATAGATCAGTTGGTATAGCGACGGTCTACTGCCCGCAGTACAAAATTTCCTCTTCTCCACACAGTCCAGACACTATGGCCCACCCACTCTCCTATCTAATGGGTCTTTCCCAGGCGGTAAAGCATCCGGGGAGTGAAGCTGACCACTCATCTCCATCTAGTCCCGAGGTCAAGAATGGTGGAGCTATACCTCTACTCCCCCGTGTCTCCATGGCGACATAGCGCTTAACTGGTTAAGTACAGGGACAATTTTACGTTTCATTATTAAACATAAAATTGACTGCCCCAGCTACGTGGACACGTTGAAGGTTGAGGTACAACATACACTGGTTTTGTGTTAACTGCGAAACATGGCTCTTCAGACTAAGAGAAGTTTGATAGACATAAGTGACTGGGCCTAAGAAGGGTGTGCTGGCTGACAAGAACAAATCAGCACAGGTCATATGATGTATGGGCTCATTATATCATTTGGCAGAAACTGTTAGTTTGGGTAGTAAATTTAGGAAGGTTTTGATGGGCTGGACATATAGCTCGAATGGGAGAAGAGAAGTGTATGCTCTGGCTAGAGAATTCGTGTAGGTAACCTCTCGGAAAGGGGCCACTTGCACGACCAAGGAAGAAAGACACGAGGATAATATTCTTCATTGTATGCATCCTGTTGTGTCACGCAACAGCGTTATTAAGACAGTCTTGACAACAATAATATCTACAAACAAAATCGACACTAACGCATCAACATTCGTTTATTGGGCAAAAGCGTTCGCTACATGTTTCGACCTGCACAAGGTCATCATCAGGCGAACCTATAAGTATTAGATCTAGTTTTTGAATAGTATTTCTTAATATGGATCCAAATTGTTACAACATTTTACCATTTGATAGCGAATACAACAAGTTTTTAGGTAAAATATAATCTAAAGAATACACACAGTTTTTTTCCCCCCCTTCCCCTTGGCGCTACAGCCCCAGTGGGCCTAGGTCTACCTCCGTGAACTTCTCCGTTCACTTCGGTTTTTCTAGATCTTACACATTCGGTAGGACTCCTTGGGCGGGTGACCAGCTCGTCGCAAGGCCTCTACCTGTACACAAACACAGAAAAACGCACACACAAACTAAACATCCGTGCCCTGAGTGGGATTCGAACTCACGATCCCGGTTTCCAAGCGAGCGAAGACAGTACATGCCTCAGACCGCTCGGCTACCGTGACCGGCCAGTTTTTAATTAGGCTTAAATATTTAAAACTATATTTAGATTATTTAGATTTAATTTTAATATTATTGCTAACGTGAACAACACAAGAACAGCGGGGCTCCCTTCGCAAACAACATAACCTACAAGCATTATAAACTCTCCACATACGGAAAACAAAACTAGCTGAGAATGACACAAAGAAAAACGCTTAGGAGACAATTACACCACGATTAAAACTAAAATCAACCCGACAGAGATTCCGAGAAGCACCCCCCCCCCTCACGTTGCGTCGACCTACGCCCTAATAGCCAACAAATACGACCACAACAACAACAAGAAACCAACCAAAACTTTTGTTTAAAGCCAGTTCTTAAAAATGAAGTATAATTCGAGAAATTAATTTTAAATGTTAACTTTGATTTTTAAGGCTAAAACTACATTTAATTAAAAACTGTATATTCGTTACAGCATATTTGTTTGCATTTGCTAAATTATATTTCAAATAAAACCCTATCGCATTCGCTATCAAATGGTAAAATGTCGTAATAAGGTGGATCCATATTAAGAAACACAATTCAAGAACTAAGATCTAATTATTATATGCTCGCCTGATGATGACCTGGTGTAAGTCGAAACATGTAGTGAACGCCTTTGTCTAGTAAGCGAATGTTGATTCGTTGTGGATAGTATTGTTATTCTGAAGCTGTTATTACGGGGATAACGTTTGGATCGATCTTAACGAAACGAAAACATGTTGTAAGAACGTAAACTTTGAAATATTTAAATTTGAGAAGATTCACATTGCATTGGCTTTCTTTAGATGCTGCACAGTAATCAAACGAGAGCCTAATCTCTAGCCACACGTAACAGCTAGCCATGTTATCTACAAGACTCATTGTCCAGGTCCGTCACTTCTAAGCCATGCAATGCTCTTGTAGCTTCTGAGATTCTCAGATCTGACTTTGTATTGCAATGGTCCACGAAGACCAGCGAAAGACAAGCGACGTTTCGGAGAAGCGTATCAGTGCCGAAGAGAGGGAGCTAAGCAAGGAACCAGTACGGATCTGCTTTCTACCTGCTTGCCTTACTCTACAATCACAACCCTGAAGCTTGAGGCGACATGATTCTCCGAAACGTCAGTTGACTTTCAACGGACTACACGGCGGTGCCCGTTCATTGACGCTGCGGCAGCGGGTTCCGATTTCTCTGCATGTGTATTATAAGGCACTATAAGGAGTTCTGACCAAGGTCGTCTATGTTCAGTGTGGCCCGTTTTCCTACCATGGATGCACGTCTGCTGAAGCTAGTCGCTCTCTGTGCAGCTGTCGGTAAGTAGCACTCACTACACGCCATTTTGTCAGAGAGTAAAACCATGTTAAATCGTTGCCATTCTCTGGTGGGTTTGTTGCTCTTTTAGTGGGAAGTCGTTGACTGTGGATTCAATTTATTAGCCGAAGGTTCTAAAACTGTAGATATACAAGACAGGTTTCAGAATTATGAACAGTTGTGGACGCAGTCATCTTGTTACTCTGAAAACGTGTAACGTAAGTTTTGCATTTGGCTACAATTTATGATTATAGCAGATATGTGGAACGAGTAGAGATCTTAATAATCAAGCCAATGAGTCCCGTAAGGTTCTCATGAACTATGGAGGTAAAATTGCTTTCTCTGCAGCACGAACTGTGTCTTTTTAGTGTCAGGTCTCGCGCTTGAAGGTACAAAAGGCTCTGTTCTGAACATGGGCGCCGATAGGGGAACCTTGATTTTTTTAAAATGAAGGGGAGGTCACAGTTTAAAAACAAGGAAATAATACCACATATTAACACACACACAGCCTAAAATGGTTGCACAGAGGGATCCGTATATCCCTCGTAACAATACTCATAAAAGGCTTAAATGTTAGTTCGTAGGCACACCCACCTGCTTCTCCCATGCTGGGAATGCTGCATGAAGCGCGTAAAGCAGTGACGGTTCAGAGGTGTGCCAACACTTGTACTGACTCTCTGTAGGCCCACTGCTACCCGCCACTTCATATTTACAGGTGCAATAAAGCAACATCTTAGGCCTGTTTCATGTGGGAAACTCTGGCCCAATAAGAGATGATAGATTTGATGTGTACAAAAGGTATCGGTCATTACATCTGATATTTTATGGTTATGAAGGAATTAATTTTATGTGGCAAGAAGTGTTAATAAGGGGAGAAGAGCTCAAAAGAAAGCAGAGGAAACTGTAAAATGCAGGGCAGAAACATAGCACAAAGGCCGTCAGTAAATCCTAAAAAGAGTGTGACAAAATAAAAATATTTAGGAACGATAGCAACAGATCAAAATTAGGGAGCGATATTTTTAAACTGGAACCCAATTTTAGGGATGTTAATGAGGTCATGTATTAGAGAGGGGGTTGGGGCGATTTTAGCGCGGAGCTTGTATGCGCTATAGAGCCACTTCTACAAACGAGAAGTGCATGCAGTAATGTGAGGCGCTTAGTGCATTTCTGAAAGTCTGCACGAACACGCTCCACGCACAGCCAAGCATAACGAGGCCATGTACGGTCTGAGGCTCTCTGAATCGTGTCTTATGGGATGTCTATAACAGAGTGTAGTCCGTTGGAAGTAAAACTGCATTTCGGACATACATGTTGCCTCCATCTTCAGGGTAGAAGAGTAAACCAGGCAAGAAACAAGCATGAATCTGGTAGAAAGCAGAACTCAGTCACGCCTTCACTCATTTCATTGTAGGAAATGTTCCATCAATCAGTGTGACCAAACAGTATGAGGAAATTTCAGACTAGGTGAGCAATTATCAGCTTCTCAAGAAGAAGTTGGCTTCATGGAGTGGTTTTTTAGTTAGCTTAACAGTTGGTATGTGACGTCATTAACGCTCATAACATTGGGTTCTCATTTGAGACTATATACATCAGTCTGTAATTTTGATCTGTTATTGTTGTTCCTAAATATTTTTATTTTCTCTGTTTCTGCCCTGCATTCTGGTGACGAGACAGGAACACATATCTAGTTTCATTTGCGTTTCTTTGGCCTATTTCCTTATTAACTTTTCATGAGACTTTCATATTTCTATTTATAAAATTAATTTCTTTGTAACTGCAAAATATCAGTTGTAATGGCCGATAACTTTTTGCACACATCAAATTTATCTTCCGTTATTTATTGGCCCAGTGTTTCGCGCATGCGTCAGGTCTAAGATGTTTTATTTCAGGGAGGTAGGTAGGTCGGTAGGGACGTAAGTAGGTAACTGGTTGGTGCCATACGTGCAATTCTTCACGGTTTTGGGCCAAGGTCCCCTCAAGGTCAGCGTGTCCAGTTGTTCCACTTCCAATTTCCGCCTGTGTTTCAAAGTTCGTCGTACTACATGCTGAGTTCTCTCGCGGCAGCTCATTGCTTGGCTTTAAGCCTCACGTCGATGCCTTCCTTTACTTACTTACTTACTTACTTACTCATGGAGCTGAGCCCTTCTAGAGGAGCTGCCAATTCTGCAGCACCTCAAGAATTTACCAGCATTTTATGGAACCCGAAGGTTCATTACCGTTTTCACAAGAGCCTTCCACTGGTCCCTATCCTGAGCCAGATCTATCCAATCCATACCATACCATCCCATCCTATCTCTAAGATCCATTCCAACATTGTCCACCCACCTACGCCTTGGTCTTCCCTGTGGTCGCCTTCCTTCTGGCTTTCCCACCAATATACTATATGCATTCCTCGTCTCCCCAATTCGTGCTACATGACCCGCCCACCTCATCCTCCTTGACTCGATCATTCTAATTATACTTGGAGAAGAGTACAAGTTATGAAGCTCCTCATTATGCAGTTTTCTCCATCCTCCTGTCACTTCATCTCTCTTCGGTCCAAATATTCTCAACAACCTGTTCTCGAACACCCTTAGTCTATGTTCCTCCCTTAGTGTCAGAGACCAAGTTTCACACCCATACAGAACCACAGGCAAAATTATAGTTTTGTATATTCCAATTTTTATGTTTTTGGACAGTAGACTAAAAGACAAAATGTTCTGGACTGAATGGTAGCCGAGTTCAATCTCCTCTTAATTTCCTCATGAATCAGGTTTCGATCTATTATTGTTGTTCCCAAATATCTGAATTGTGCCACATTTTCAAAATATCTGTTTCCTATCTTTATATCATGATTTTGCCCTGCATTTTGGTGACGAGACAGCAGCATATACTTAGGTTTCTCCGTGTTTACTTCTAGACGAACCTCTTTACTTGTGTCAATTAAAGTTTGTGTTTTCCTCTATGGTATCAACATTATCACCCAGTAGATTCACATCATCGGCATAGGCCAACAGCTGATGTGTCCCGTTTAATTGCAGTCCCACCTGCTTCCCTGAGCCTTCCTAATTGCATATTCTAAAGCAAAGTTGAAAAGGAGTGGTGATAAAGCATCTCCTTGTTTTAGACCATTCTGGATAGGAAATTTATCAGACAAATGTTTACCTACACGGACCTTGCTATACGTTTCGTTTAAACACATTTTAATCAACCTAACTAGTTTCATGGGTACCCCAAACTCTATCAGAATATTGTACAGTACTTCCCTCCTAACTGAATCTTAGGCTTTCTTGAAGTCTATGAATAGCTGATGTACTGTCTCATCGTACTCCCATTTTTCTGCAATATCTGACGAATGCAAAAGGTCTGATCTGAAGTTGATCCGATGCCTTCCTTTGCCCCCACAAACCCTACAGCTCTCACCTTCCCTCAGACATAAAAACAAACTTAAATTGGATGTTACAATTTTTTAAGAATACGCTAAGTCTTATTTCATCTACATGTACACAGGGTCGGAATCAAAACTGGGTTCATATCACTCACTCAGGGAGCTGAGCCCTTCTTGAGAGGCCCCCAGTTGTGCAGCTACTCAAGAACTTCCCAGCATTTTATGGAACCCGGGGGTTCAGTATCGTGTTCTCAAGAGCACTCCACTGGTTCCTATCCTGAGCCAGATTAATCCAATCCATACCATCCCATCCTAACTCTCTAAGATCCATTTTAATATTGTCCACCCACCTACGTCTTGGTCTTCCCAGTGGTCTCCTTCCTTCCGGCTTTCTCACCAATGTCCTATATGCAGATTCGTAATAGCAAGTTTAATCGAAATACTCTCACTAGTTGTGCAAATACGACCTCTCATTTATACGTTCACTTCGTAAAATGGATGCACATAAGCCAGAACTTGATTAGGTGGAAGGGTTTAGGCTTGTTCACTTCATCGAGCAAGTTAGCTCAAGCGACAACGTTCCTTCCTCTTGTTTAGGAGATACTGGGTTCAGACCGTCTGTCCTGACTGAGTCCCTTCAGGAAAATATTTGGGCAGTCCCTCAAAATAGGCCACGACAACTTCGTTAAATATTGAAGAATGCCGTCTTCTGGGATGTGGCGCCGTGAAAACCTCAAAACTAACAATACGTCATTAATTAAAATACAATTCAACAAACTGCAATTAAATCATCAACANTAAATAAAGTTTTCATTTTGTGGGTCCTGTTCTATGTAATATCCATGGTATTGTGTGAGGGGGGGGGTCTGTCGACGTAATTACAGAGTCTTTGGTTCTCGTCTTGTCGGAGGAAACGGGGAAAGATGATGGATACAAAGGAAATAACTTAAGTGTGCTGCTGATGATTGGGTTTAACTGGCACGTGGAAAGGTTAGCTGGAGTTTAAGCAGCAGGAAGCTGTTGATGTGTGCACAATGGGAACATCGGCGCGAACGGGGACCCAAGAACAGAGCAGTGGGACTTCACCTCGGAGTGAAAGTTCCGGCAAATAGAGACGTAGAGAGCCGTGTACGTATTCACTGATGCATTCCATTCGTGCTTTCGTGCGCAGTCGCACTCTCTCTCCGTCACAGGCGTTTCTCAAGCAGGCACAGCGCGGAACATGCATACAGACAGACGCCAACGTAAGTTCAGGCATTGTGACCCACTGGCACGGTACCAAGTTTGCCACAGACCCGAGATATCTGATAGTATTTATGTGCGTAACTTCTGGAACCGCTTGGAAATTCAAGATTTTTTTTCTTCATTTATTCCCTCGTAAGACACGTACGTTTCTTCTGTCACTTCACATTTACCGAGAAGTGTGGTAACTCAGAGGAAAACAGCTGCAAGAAAGCACAACATTCGTTTAAAATGGTAAAGTTAATCCTTGTGCTTAGCTATGAGCACTGCGCCATGAAGACGTATGGGGGAGTGGATATACTGATCCACGTTTTCTTGACCTCGGAACTGGCTGGAGGTAAGCGGTCAGCTTCACGCCCAGGCCGCTTTACTCCCGGGGAAAGAGAGGTTACGTGGACCCCAGAGCCTGTCAGGATGACCCGGAGAAAATTCTTTCCCTTACCGGGACTCGAACTCCGGCCCGTAGCCAATCGCTGTACCGACTGCGCTATCCCGGCTACCCAACACAACGTCCTATTACCTTGTCTATTATTTTGAACCGTGTGATTTAAGTAGGCCGTGTCTGTTAAACAAAAAAATTGGAACTGAGGTACGAGGATCTCAAGAAGAGTCCTTTCTGGGATGCCACGCCGTGTAGTCTGACAGAAGTTTGCAGACCTTTCGGGGGAACTTGTTGCTTCCATCTTCGCGGTATTCTTCTATCCTCAATTCTTGTCTATGTCTCACTGCAGTTAAGAAAAAGATAATAATTTTGTACAAGTTCGTATTCATCATCATGGATTGGGCCATACGTGGCCTGTTCCGTCCTCTTGAAGAGAGTATGCTGATCCCTCCATCTTGACTGTGGACGTCCTATGTTTCGTTTTCTTTTGAGGTTGCATGTTAGAATTTTCTGCGAAATCCGCCCCGTCTTCCATTTGGTGTTGCATGTGATGTTTCCACTGTGATCTGGACTTTTTGAGCAATTTGAGTGTTTCTTAGTGGCCGTGACATCATCAGGCTCAATCACCAGCATTTAGACTTAAAAACGTTCCTGAACTTTGTGCAGACAAGTCGGAACACACACCACACGCAGCACAGCAATTCTGACAGCAGCGTTCGCATCGACAGATATGCTGAACAGCATGCGGTATGAAATTTCATACAAAATGGTCAAATTGTTTCTCACGAAATCCAGTGCACTTCAACTGCAACACTTACGGAAATGGTGTGTATTGGACGGAATACGTGATTTAAGTTCTCTCTAGGGCTTGTATTATTTTCTTTTTCGAAATACTACTTTCGCCGCGATAAATACGAATGTTTAGCGAGTCGCCTGCCCGGTGCGTGCAGATACACAGAGACCCGCATGCAGTGGCCATTGTTGTTGTCGTCCGACTCAACTAAATTTATGACATGTGTAAGACCGCCTCTGTGATCTAGTAGTCAGAGTTCCTGGCTATAGATCCAGAGGTCCGGGTTCGATTCCTGGCGCTACCAGATTTTCTGAGAAGTAGTGGATCTAGAACGGGGTCCACTCAGCCTCGTGAGGATAATTGAGGAGATGTTTCAAGGAAATAGCGACTCCGGTCTAGAAACCCGAGATTAATGACCGTGGGGAACCGTTGCGCCGACCACGCGACACCCTCTATCCGCAAAAGTTGGTACTAATTTCGCCGACAAGCGTCAGTCGCTCGGTCGGTATAGTTCGCTTGCGGACTACAGGCCACAGGGTTTCTTTTAACAACTGTAATTAAATTCTCAGTATCATCAGGTTTCATGAAAATATTTTCAGCGTTTCTCTGGCGGACAAAGCACGCCGAGAGATACCTTTCGTTACGAGCACACCAGTATTCCAGCACTTAACAATGACACGCAAGTTAAATCGGTCTGATTTGCGCAGCCGCAATCTTGACGTTCAATCTGAAGCAAAATCCCTCTCACATGGCGAAGAATGCGCGCAGGGGGAGGGGAGTTCGCAAATACTGCTCGTTACCATTAGGAACCTGTTTGCGGTGACGCCCAGACCTTGTCATGTCGTTGTCCAGCTCCTTGTCCTTCAAACCAATCCGCCATGTTGCAGCAAAAACTGACACAAGAACGGTTATTGCGTCGTCCAATCAAACATGAGTAGTACAACCGACATAATGGTTACAGTTACATCTCAGACAGTGAGAAGCAATGCAATGGAGGTAGTCAGGATAGCTCAGTCGGTATAGCGACGGGCTGGACGTCCAGGGTTCGATTTCCGTCAGGGGAAAGGCATTTTTCTCTATTTCACAGCTTTCAGACCGGCTCTGGGGCCCATCCAGCCTCCTGTCCAATGGGTGTCGGGGGTAAAGCGGCCGGGCCGTAGTAGCTGACCACTCAAGTCCATCTAGTGGCGATGTCAAGAATGTTAGAACTATACCTCCACTCCCCCACACGCCTTCATAGCATAATGCATATTTAATTAAGCACAGAGACAGTTTTACATACAACCGCTAACAGATCATGTCAGATGATAACTACTTTGGCCTACTCTGCTTTCCATTTTGAGCGCTTGATGAGTGAATGGCTTCCGTGTATAACAGGACGTGAGTTCGTAACCCGTCTAAAAGAGGAACAATGGAAATTTTACATTTCGCTGGGAATAACCAGAGCATCTCAGTCGGTTATGAACAGACAGATCGGTCGCTATATGTTCGTAATTACGCAGACATGATCATGGCGCACCTAGCAGCGGTTATAATCATAAACCCCTGAGAATTCAGCTTTCATGTGCTTACGAATGCAACCGAAGAATTCCCGTTTAACACTGTCTCATCACGCTTACATGCGACTTACGGCAAACACCGTCAGCTTGTACTGAAACATCGAACTATGCTGCCGCTAACAAGGTGACTTGAAACACTTGCTGTGTGTTGTTGCAGCGGCTGTCTGTGGACAGGCGGGGGCGCCTGGGCGCAAACAGCAGGCGGCTCGGCGTCCGGCGTCCACCACGAAGCGTCCCACGACGGAGGCGGCGGGAGCGGACGACACGACGGATGAGTGTCCGGAGCCAAACGGCTACTTCGCCGACGCCTACCAGTGCGACAAGTACTACGAGTGTATCGATGGAGTCATCACAGAGAAGCTGTGTGCAGACGGCATGGTGTTCAATGATTTCAGCCCCATGCACGAGAAGTGTGACCTGCCCTTCAACATCGACTGCTCCCAGCGCCCCGAGTTGCGTAAGTTGTCTTCACTCTGTGTTCAGAGCACATGCAGAGTGTTCTCATTGAGTCTTGAGTCCAGAGAACCCACTTGTATTACTGGTAGGGAACTGTGTAATATTCTGAATGTTCTGTTGACAGACTGTGTCATTTAATACGAAAAAACATTCTTATTAAAAGATGTACTGATTTGTCATGTTTTAACTAACAACCAAATTAAAAAAAAAACTCCGCGGTTTTAGTCCGCAAGCGAAATATACCGACCGATCGACCGCCGCTTGTCGGTGAAGTTAGTGCCAACTTTAGCGGATACAGAGTGCCGCGTGGTCAGCGCAACGAATCCCTACGGCCGTTAATTTCGGGTTTCTAGACCGGAGCCGCTATTTCCTTGAAATAGCACCTCAGTTATCCTCACGTGGCTGGGTGGGCCCTGTTCTATTTTTTTATTGCTAGTGGGGTGGGACCAAGTCCCTTGCCCTGCGGCCACTTCTGTCCTACTGTACCAGCCCCAGATGATAGGTGAGGGTGATTGTGGAGCAATTGGTGGAATGAAGATTGGCAGAGGAAACCGAAGTACTCGTCCACCACAAATCCCACTTGACCAGACCCGGGATCGAATCCTGGCCGCCGCCATGGGAAGCCAGCGACTAACCGCTTGAGCTATGGCGCGGCCATTGGTTAGAGGATTAGTCTGCATGTTCCACTTTCCCCAGAATATCAGACAACAGAAACAAGTGTTTTCGGCTGTAACGTTCTTTTGTCAACAAGATTAAAAAGTCTGTGACGATGGTACACGTGATGTCCGTTTTGATAGAACTAACAAAAAATAGGCACCCTGTTGTGTGTCACATGTCGGATATACACGTATATACTGGTGGCAGTCTGCACAACAATATTTCCGAAAAAACAAAATGGATATTACTGTATCAACACTTGTTTATATGTACGTATGTATCATATATCATATAAAAATACAAATATTATGTTTTTGGACATTATACATCGTCCTGTTTTTATTTAAAACACGACATTTTGTCTTCGTCCTCAGGTAAAGCCTACTATCGATTTGGCCCAACTGAGTACATTTTACCTGAAGATGGAGACAGAATGCAGTCTCCGAAACGTTTTGTTTTGAAATAAAAAGTAGGACGATGGATAACGTCCAGAAACGTAATATTGTACCATTATATGTATACAGTGGCCGTCTTGTAGTGCACTCAATTTCACCTGTCACTTCACAACATGTTTCGGCAACATAGTGCCATCATCAGGTGTCCCAATTACGTCAATCTATTGCATTGCCTGCCCTCATATATTTTCACAACACCATTTAAAAAGTATTTAAAAAGTCCGTATTTGTCAATTATGATAAATTTACACTCGCTAAAACTTGTTAAGATAATTCATCTTATTTGTCTTAATTAAAACTTGCATGTGGTTCGTTCACTACGGGGTCGTTTTTCTTATTTTCTGTGTAAACCGCGTCTTGTGATGTGTGTTCCCTTCTTAGCTGAAATCCAACTCTTAAACAAAGGGTTAAAATACAATCTACACTATAAAAATAAAAAACGGATTGAAACATCAGCTCTCAAAGCAGAAACAGCAATAACAAAACTAGACATAACAGAACACAACTACTATAGACACGTAGTTGCGAAACAAATCAAAGATATTAGCAGAAACAAAGAAATTCATAATAGCTATAATAGCAAGAGAGAATGGAAAGTAGCTATGAATATAAAGAGAAAAATGATAGACAACAGATTAATAGTAACAAAAGCAGACAAAGGCAAAACACTAGTAATAATAACAGAAGAAGATTACAACACTCGCAGCTAAGAAGGGAACACACATCACAAGACGCGGTTTACACAGAAAATAAGAAAAACGACCCCGTAGTGAACGAACCACATGCAAGTTTTAATTAAGACAAATAAGATGAATTATCTTAACAAGTTTTAGTGAGTGTAAATTTATCATAATTGACAAATACGGACTTTTTAAATACTTTTTAAATGGTGTTGTGAAAATATATGAGGGCAGGCAATGCAATAGATTGACGTAATTGGGACACCTGATGATGGCACTATGTTGCCGAAACATGTTGTGAAGTGACAGGTGAATTTGAGTGCACTACAAGACGGCCACTGTATACATCACTACAAGACGGCCACTGTATACATATAATGGATGAAAATCAGTGCAACAGGACGCTAAAATATAATAGTAATATTGTACTTTTGTTATTTTCTCTATTACTTCGTCGTTTAACGATTGCGTTTCGACTACGCATGTTATATTGCACTGAGGAAGGAAGATGGTTGAAATGAACTGTGTTTGGAACGAGGCTGTTGTGCCTTGACGTTACAGAGGAGCCACAGCCCAGCCTGCATTGCCCGCGGAAGAACGGCTACTTTGCTCACGAAGAGCCGCACACCTGCGACAAGTTCTACTACTGCGTGGATGGCAAGTTCAACATGATCTCCTGTCCGGACGGCTTGGTCTACAACGAGCGGACAGGCATCTGCACCTGGCCTGATGAGGCCAAGAAGAAGGGCTGCTCGTCGGAAGGTGAGGCACTCGCCCATAAAACTCTTCTGCACACGGAACGATTTTCGCCAAGAAGTACCTAACCTTAATGTAGCTAGTGGTTTCTGGGTCTCTCTCTCAAACCATATGTACAAAAATAGTTCTGTCTTCTGGGATATAGCGCCGTGTAGTCCGTCGAAGGACAACCGATATTACGGAGGAATATGTCGCCTCATCTTCAGACGTTGAAGTTTGCTTTGCTTCCCACCTGATATCAAGCAGGTTTCCCTGCTTAGCTGATTCTTCGACGTTGAAGGTGAAGACGACATAACGTCGGTTGAATTTCAACGGACTACACGGCGTTAATCCCGAATTCTTCATAACTACCGCTGTGGGAACTTAAGATCCTACAGAATCACATACATAGTGTTATATATATATATATNGTGGACCTGTACAAGTAAAGAAACCAAAAATATTAAAGCCATACTACCAGCTATCCGCATTTTATTTAGGTTCCCAAAGAATTATACACGTTCAAGGTTTTAATACGACTAAATGTATTAGCTCCAATCTTTTCTAAAAAGTAAAACAAGTAAAGGTATCCCTGTAACAGGCTGTGGAGGCCCATAGTGTTGTGAGATGTTGAGGTTCCAACATTTTCTAGACGATCGGCTCATAGATGGTTGAAATATCCAGATTACAAATTTTACCAGAGCCGTGCAATTGGAAACGGAAAGCTTAACAAATCCTTCGCGGTCTCATCTCAAGGGTTGGTCATCCACGTAACGCAACCTGAACTAAGTTCTGCTCGGACTTTCTGTTTCAGATATGTTCAAGTTTTCTGTAGTGGAATTTCCGTTTCAGATGTGTTCAACTTCTGTGACCCGGAATTTCCGTTTCACGTGTGTTCAACTTCTTTGCCCCGGAATTTCCTTTCCAGATGTGTTCCAATTTTGTGACCCGAAATTTCCTTTCCAGATGTGTTCAAGTTCTCGTGCCCCAAGGTGGCGACGACAGAAGCCCAGCAGCACCCGCGCTACGCCGACCCAGAGGATTGTCAATATTTCTACGTGTGTATCAATGGCGAGGTGCCCCGACGCAATGGTTGCAAGATGGGACAAGTGTTCAATGACGGCAGCAAAACGTGCGACTGGCCCAGGAATGTGCCCGAATGGTGAGTACAGCTCACATCATATCGCGGTGTAAACTTGGCATCAGTGCTGCTCAACCTTGGGGTACTTTACCAGAGGGTACAAATCTTCAGATCACACGGCAGAGGACATAGTTCCTTGAAGTATCTGATAGATGGCTCTATTCGTTCAACGGTGTCGACGCTTCATTCGATAACAACTCATATACACACTTCCACACCTTGCGTAGGCATTCAACGACAATTACATTGACAGTATTAGTGGAACAGAGGGGAAGAAAGGAGGAATGGAATGACTGTAGAACAGAAAAGGCGGGACTGCAAAGGAACAAATGTTGTTAGGGATAAAGGAAGGAGAGGGTGATGGATGAAAATATGAAATACATAATTGTCCCTCGCATTAAATCTGTGCATACTCTTGAAACTCACAATCACGTGACATATTTGTATACTTACTAGCATTTAAGGGGGGCACACGGTCGCGTAGCTAGTTGAGGCACTATGCTACAAGACGGTATGTCGCTGGTTCGATTCCCGATTCGGTCATTGGATTTTTCAGTTGATGTAATCCTTCCAGCCGAACTATGGCCCTGGGATCGACTCAGCATCAAACAGACATAAGTACCAGGAATATTCTTGGGGTAAACACGCAACAATAGAACAGTGGTTGGAAGCGAAATTTTCTGTGCGGTCCTTGCCAAGGCTATATAACGAGGACCACCAGATGCCATTATGAGAGAGTCCTGAGATAACAGAAGAGGTTGGTGTGAGATGGCCGCCAGCCTGCGAAGACCTGAGCCTGGAAGCAGAGTAACGTCCACTGTTGGAAGCCGCTACCAAGCAGCGCAGTAAATGCCGTGACTGAAAACACTAGTTTTTGTGTGATACTGATTTGTGTAGTGTAGATACTCACGAGTTGTATGTTTAAGAGCCAACCCCTCCCCCCCGTCCTAGTCACTCGACCACATGACAATATCATCTGAATTTTCGTGTCAGAAAATTCGTGACAGTCGGTAATGAGGCATGCCAGCGACGCTTGCGCAGTTACGAATCTCGCTATTTAAGTACAGCAACCCCTGTATTGGCACCCCGAATTATGTGTTGTGTGCAGTGGCAGCCATTTTGAATATTTACAATGATTTATTTTGACAAGATTCGGAAGAAGACCGTACTTTGTTTCTCTGTTTCACATAACATAGTTTCAGGACTTGAATTTTTAGATTTTGTTGCTGTCAGAGAGAGGGAGGCGTTTAGTTGCACCCAAAACGGCGATATACGTATAGTCCCTGTCCCTGTGCTTTCTGCTACTTCATGGGACGCTGTATAACTAGTGGAGAGACCTTCTGTTGAACTTTAATCGGGAATTGTCCTAGGATGGGCCGCTCACAGTGGCCGCGCGGTCTAAAATACGAACTGCCTTCGCCCGCTCGAACACTGGGATCCTGGGTTTTAATCCCAATACTGGCATGGATTCTGTGTGCAGGTAGCGGCCGTGCGACAGGCTGATCCCCCGTCCAAGGAGTACTACTGACTTTGTATATAGGATTAAGGGACCGAAAAAGCAGCCAGGGCCCAACAGAGGGCTGTGAAAGAATGAATTATACTAGGCTGAAATATCATGCAATTCATTCACTAACCCAGGTACCCAATTTTGATTTCAGTGCTGAGTGGTATAAAGGCATTCTGACGGATGAGCAGTTGGCAGAACTGGAGGCCCCCAAGCCGAAGAACCGAACGAGGGGGGAGGAATACAAGACGAGGAACGGGGGTGGAAAGCTGCGGCCAATCGAAGTGGAGTAGTAGCAGATATTGTGACAAACTGAACACACACAAGAAACATCATCAATCGATTTACTAACCAGGCCAAATCACAATAAACGTAAAATAGATTTGTAACGTTCCAGGTACCTCCCTCTGCACACGGTCTCACCCTAGTACATTTCTTAATGTTTCTCATGTTCTGGTTTCATGGTTGGGTGCTACACGCAAGTGCATTTTGCATTTTTAAGAGTGGTCTTTAAATCTACTTCTGGGTTTTCCCACTTCTCTGTTTCTCTCCTCTGGGATTACGTAGTATATATATGGTCTACTGTTCTCATAATGGTGTCCATGAAGATTTCTGGGACATAGTGCCGTGTACTCCGTTGAAAGTCAACCGACTTTTTTAGAGGAACACTTGGCCTCGGTGTACTCGACCCTGAAAACATGGACTTTCAGCTAACTACAGAGTGTTATAGAACTCTTCGTATCAGCCTACTTCGTTGTGTTTCGGAATTTCTGATAATTACAAACACCGACAACAGTGAATATGTAAGGGCCCTTTGTTCTGCTTTCAATTTCAGAGCATTCACTTGCCAGATCTCTTCTCCAGGCGCATGCCACATGTCAGGAGCTGCATCCGGAGAAACTTGTTTGTATTTTCCTCACGCCGAAATGTAAAGCTGTTACTTAGAATCATGCAAAATATACAGGGCGCTAGAAAGTTCTGCCCCGAATTGCCAATAAAAATAAAATGTTTTTACACGTTCAACTACTTATTTATTAAAGTCCTCGCCAATAATTGATGATAATATCATTTAAACTAACAAGTGAAGAATTATGATTAGAGTTCCTGATTTGTCACAGAATAAAACATGGATTTCGTCTTTGCCGTTTGGTGTATAGTGCGCAGATAGCGCTTCCGGTTCCCGCTCAGCAATATTTCTAAACGCTTGAAATGTTCGCTAAATACACAGAACTCTAGCAGGAGGATTCGGAGAGCGATTAAATTTGAATATTAATTTTATTTAAAATGCAACAAAACTGGTAAGAATCATCCTATATGATGTCACGATAATAGCCCCAAGAACGTCTTCAGGTTTGTCACAAGGTTCTAATAATGTTTATCGTTCTGTGAGGCCAACCACAGGAACCAGAAACGGACCCACTAAGATGTATTCATTTTCTACACGGATAAATAAAAATGGCGTGCCAGAACTCGCACCACTTGGGGACCGGAAGTACTTGTATTGTGGCGACACAAGTCTGTGGAGTGGAATATTAGGGAAACACTTTTCAGTATGATGCAAAGATACCTTGGCGTATTGAAGAACAGTGGTACCACATTCGGTAACATTAAGAAGATCTACGTTTTGTTGACAAAGTGAATTTGTTAGGTTTCACATAGCTCTCAGAATAAACAGCGATTGTTCCCCTAAACATCAACAGGCTGATCCATATAATGGAGACGCACTGTGTTTTCTGTGCTGCTACCCTTTACGTATTGTGTAGATGGAGGTATTAATGGCAGGCGTCATGAGCCCGCGACCTTACTGTTATCAGGCTCCAAATCCATGCAAAAAAGCAGGCAAATTCATAATTCTGCATGTTTCAGTCTTCATCTACGAACCGGGAATCGAAATGACGGAGCTGGGACAGCTCAGTCGGTACGGACTGAACAACCGAGGGGTCGGAGTTCGAGTCAAGGTAGGGTCAAGATGTTTCGTTTCTTCACAGCGTCCAGACCGGTTCTTGGGCCCCACCCAGCCTCCCTCATATCCAATGGGTACCGATGGTTCTATCCGCGAAGGTAAAGAGGCCGGGGCGTTAAGCCTACTAGTAGTGGAGAGGTAAAGAAAACGTGGATCTATATATCCACTCCCCCATACACCTTCATGGCGCAGGGACAACTTAACCTTCACCTTACTGAGCTGAATGGTAGCTCCATTTAGAAATCTGTACCCTCAATATCTTCATATTGCACACTGTGGAATGTCAAGGCAAGAAGACGAGGACCTCGTCAATGAAGTCTGACTGGAAGGTGTGGACTCCGTACAGATGAGAAACCTGTTCTTGGAGGAATGAACGTTTAAAAATGTGTGGAAATATTTCGGATCCAAACGACAAGCTTAATATCACCATGAAAAATAAAGGAATTACTGTCTAATTAAAAACTGTTTAGGCCAGCTTTACGGAAGAAAATTTCTCTGTGTTAATCTCATACTCCCGTGTAGCCCCACGTTAGGCGCCATGTTCTTCTAACCGACTCACTCAGTGAGACTTCAAGCCCAACACGTTGGTCGTCATATTATACGGATAGCTCGTTGTGTCCATTACTTTACTGTCGTCTTCGGCCGCTGGCTGCTGGACTGCTACGGGCGGCGGCGGCTACAGCTGGCTTTACCCTGCTTCACTTATCATACTTACACACCTCTGATCTTTAGGGCAATGGGTTTAGTTTGGGCCCCAGTAAACTGCTACTATCAGTTTACAGATTTATGAAAGATGTGAAGGATTGATCAGGGGGTAGCGGTTGTGTGTAGCTATTTCCGCCAGTAGAGCTAAGATTCTGTTCTCAGGCCGTTTGGCAGGGTCTCGCTCAGGAAGGGAAGTGGGAACTCCTGTTATAACACACACACATTTTGTTCCAGAAGACGCTTTATTAAACTGTTGTCAATAGTGGACGCCACAAACGCACTAGATTGAATTTGCTGTCTTAAGAATCACTGCTTGTCGCGAAGGTACTTGCATGGCAGGATGACTAGTCTATAGGTATCTACCCCACAGTTTATCTAATCACATAGGCTGTAACTTAGAATTTCTAACAGAATTAGTTGATACCGAATTTGCGTCCGAATAATTTGAGATCTGGAATACGAATTCGTGCGGAATCCTTCCGAATAGTTTGCGATCTGGAATACCACTTTTTGCAGAATGCCTTCTCCTCGAAACACTCGGAGTCTTCTCGGTCCACAAGTCAACTCCCTAAATTACGAGGATTGGTCGTTTTAAAAAAATGGAGTACACGTATTCCCCCCATCCGTTTAGGTATTACAGGGAATGTAGGCGCTAAAACTTAACGCAAGTCCTGTCAGTAGCTTGACAAATGTTACGCTTCGCTTGGGCTGAGAGACAACCCGTCCTTTAAGTTATGGTGTTCAAAACTCACATATTGTATTCTCAAAGGACTCAGACAAGTAAACTTTTGTGTAACTTTCTAAAGAACCAAGCTGCCGGGGGGGTCTTCCTCTTTCACTTCGCATCTGCGTTGACCAGCTGTTTTTCTTTTTTCTTTTTCATTCCAGAGTTTGGGCTAAAACTCCTTGAGTGGAAGAAATACCCTATGTACCTCTCGTCCATTTGCTGTATGTTACAAGTAAACCTAACCGAACATGTTAATTTACATGGATCAAAACATGCTACTAAATTAAATTAAGCTGGGGTTGCCGGATCGGTTACATACTCCCAAGCGAATATGGTTTCTGACATAAAATAGAATGATTCCATATTCGTTTGTTGCCGGTAATGAACTTCTTAGTATTCTAATAAAAAACATTAATCCTTGGATTTTCTTGCTCTCTCCTTTTCTCTCTCTCTCTCCCTCTTATTCTGTTACTTACTTACTGAACTAAATCCTTAATTACCACTGTCATTCTTAGGTGCTAAAGGCTACATAGAAACTAATTACTTATACCAAAAAACTTATGATTAGTAAAATCATTGTCCATTTGTGTCTTTTCATTCAGTTTGATCTGTGGTCTTGCCACCTGATACCACTGCTTCTCTTCTTTATTCACTGCACTTCACAATTCTTTAGGTTAATCACATCCACTGGGTTCTGTCTACTTATTGCTAGTTTAGTTAACCTTAGGCCTCCTGTTTGTTTATGTTTCGTCTCACTTTTACCTCTTTTTCTCTTTCTGTCCTTTCCTAAGAGAATGACCTTACAATATAGTATTTTGTTCGTGTACTATAAACTTCAATACAAGTTTCCCCTTTACAGAGTACAATAGTCTTGTTTTTTTCTCTCTCAATCTTCCACGCACACTGAAATGATTTTCTGTGTCTAAGTTTTCTTTTTGTCAATAACTAATATTCCTCACTAGTCATAATAGTTCGGAATGTGTTCGGCTAATTGCTACCAAAATTAGCAAAGTCCTTATAACGTTTCGAAATTGATTAAGTTAATCCCTGCTATGACAGTAGACATTCTAACGTTTATCACTTTGCGTGTTATTCGGGGTTCATTGCGTTTCTTCTAAATAAGGTTCGTAGTCGGTTGCGTCGGTCAGTAAATGGATTAAGTCGTCGTTGTAGAACACCACATTATCAAGGTTACCTCCACCCAGTGCTAATTTGATCGCGCGTATAAACGCGGAAAGGGAATTCCTAAATTCGTAAGGTACAAGGTGTGTCCCAAAAGTCATGAAATATATTTTTTTCCCGCGCTCCTACTGGTCGGAGCGCGCTGGAACCGGTTGGATTAGGGGGGGAGACCTTTAGCTTCACAGCGCGCCCAAAGGGCAGTCAGCTCGAGCATCCGAGGCGTCAGTATCGCTGATTAAGTGCACCTGTGCTTTGTGACCACGTCACGGCGCGCGATGGCGGATACTTTCGAACAACGTTGGGCGGTCAAGTTCTGGACAAAGCTCAACAAAAAAGCTGCCGAAACTCACGAACTGCTTAAGCAAGCCTACGGGGAGTCTGCTCTATCATATGTGCAAGTTACAAGGTGGGTGAAGAAGTTTTAGGAGGACCAGGAAAGAGTGGAAGATGACCCCCGCTCTGGACGGCCATCAACAAGCCAAACCGATGAAAATGTGACTCGTGTGCATGATTTGTTGAATACTGACCGTCGAATGACTGTCCGGTTGTTAGCCGACACTCTGAACATTCCAAAAACCGTTGTACATCGCATCGTTATGGATGAATTGAACATGCGAAAGGTGTGCGCCAAGCTGGTCCCCAAATTGTTGACGGACGAACTGCCGCAGCCACCCTACAGCCCCGACCTAGCTCCGGCCGACTTCTTTTTGTTCCCGAGGATCAAGACTGCACTCAAAAGACTCCGTTTTGAAAGCATTCAGGCTATCCAAGCGGCCGTGACAACAGCTTTAAATGAGGTTCCCATCGAGGCTTTTGAGGGGGCGTACCGGGCATGGGAGAGTCGGTGGAAAAAATGTGTAGATGCTCATGGACAGTACTTTGAAGAATATTAACACTGTGTACCGATATCATCAATAAATTTAAAATATATATATATATTTCATGACTTTTGGGACACACCTTGTACTCTTTTGAACTGGTATTCAATTGAGTCCAATAAAAACGCTGTATACTTCCTTGATTCCTCAAGTAGATCAATGTGGAGATAGGCAGAGCTTAAATCTAGCGAATTAAAATATCTGGCTCCATTGAACCTCAGTAACAAATCCTGAAGTTGTGGAGTACTCTCGTGGTCAGGGATAGTGAATTGGTTCACTTTCCTGGCGTCTAAACAAATGCGTATATTACCGCCCTTTTTTGTCACTACCGTCAGAGGATTCAGGACAGGCGACGTGCTAATTTCTAAAACTTCGTCTTTCACCATCTGAATAATTTGTTCGCGGACAGCTGGTCTAATTGCAAAATGGATTGGCCGAGAATATCCAATAATAGGTTTGTCGGTCTTAATTGAAACTTATACGTAAACAGATTACACCTCCCAGGTTTGGTTGTCATGTGGTTCAGGTAGGGGATGAGAACTCGGTACAATTGGTTCCGCTGTACTCC